CAAAGTCCTCTAGAAGCTTCTCTCACTGAATCACTGAACTAATTTCTGCTACTTGCTTCCTCCAGTAACTTCTGGAGCATTTGCTATGGTGGTGGTCAAATGCCCTGCTGGCTACACCTGGGCCTTCTCAGAGCAGGGGCGATACAGTGGAGGAAGCGAAGATTTCCAAAAGGTGGGAAAAAAAAAACAAAACATTAATTGTGCGTGCACAGGGTGCTTAGCCTCTACTGTGAGAATGTGTGGCCGTGATGTTTCCGACTGGTTGTTCATTACCTTGTAGATTCTGTCATCACCATAGATACCATGGCCACTTAGCCATTAATTACTGTCCTTGCATGGTTTGAAACGTGGAAAATAAGTAGAAAATGTCATTTAGGGTAAGTCAGACATTTTGGGTGTTTAGATTTCCAGCTAATTTATTTTCTACCATATTTTCATCCTAGAGCTCCTTTCTCTTGAAGTGAGGAGAAGATGTGTTGGTTAATTTTATGCTGCTTGCTACCTATTTTGGAATCATATACTTTAGAGCAAAATTCCTGTTTTATGGAAAGTAGAATGTCACAAGCAAAAAAGTGAGGAGAGCTGTTAAATGCTTGAATAACAAATGCAGAGAGTTGATGGATAATGGATGAAAGAGTATTGTTTGCTTTAATCTTACTTAATAGACTTTGTCTTCTAGCCTTTTGATTTTCTCTGGCTGACTTGTAGATGTGCTTGACTTGAATTCATTTGCCCTCAAAAATAATGAAGACTGTGAAGTGTACATGGAGTACAACTGGGGAATTCGTTGGAAACATTTGACCAAGTTGGTGAAAAATCTTTCATCAGATGAAGATTCTATAGGTTCTTTCTGTTAAAACATTGGTTTATGCCAATGAGTGACCATCATAGGGAGGCTCCATCCAGGTTCTTGTCCCCAACACAAGAAGGAATTCAAGGACCAACACAGATGAAGGTCAGACAAGAAGCAAAATTTATTTATGTGCAAAGCAAAAGTACATACTCAAGAATGAGTGCAGGCAGTTTTGGGAAGAAAGAGCTGCACTTGACAAGGTTTAGGGCCTTATATGATCTGGATGCATAGCAGGTGTTGTCTGCAGCCAGGCTTAATCAAATGTTTAAAGAAGGCAGAGTTTGAGGTGGGGCTTGAGGATCATCCACTTCCTCGCCCTTTCTTGGCTTCTCAGAAGTGTTACACATCAGGTGCATGATGAGATTGAGCCATCGTTATTCTATTATGATGACATTATAATGAACCAAATGTCACAGCAGGAATGTGAACGGCAGCCATATTGGATATTCTTAGTGCTGGTTGTAGCAGCGAAACCCAGGAAGCTGTGGTTTTCCACCACACAGACAGTAATGGTGATGCATGGAAGATGGGCAGGGAATTAGACAGGGCATGGAAACGGGGCATTTGGGCAGGGCAGGCTAGGGGGTGTTTGAGTGGTACCCAGAAGTCGAGAGGTTAGGCAGGGCAGGCAGGATTGCAGCGTGAGGGGCTCCAGGGAGTGCTTGGAAACCTCAGCTCCTCTTTGCTAACTACCTCCCTGCCTCTGTCATAACCACTGGAGGACTGAGAGATGAAATTAGGATACCTCCATAGGACGCAATAATCTGCAGCTATTAAATTGTGTTTGTAAGGAACATTAATTGACTTGAGAAAGTATGCATAGTATTTCTGTAAATGAAAAATATTTCTGGAGAGGCATGATGTCATCTTGTTCATAATGTGCATACGTATGTGTGGCAAATATCACATATGTCTCCAAAGGCAAAATTTTGAATGGGTTTTCCCCTTTAGTGTTGCCTTATGTTTTCTAGGCTCCCACCATCGGAATGTGTTACTTATATAACTTTAAAATATAAAAATAAAAATGCAGATTGTATGAAGTAACTCTTGTAACACCACGTTAAAAAGCCATGCTAACAAAATATCTTGTTACTAGAAAAGAAATTCCCAACATCTCCCTTCCCCCTCCCCAAAATGTCTTCCTGTTGCACGAATTTTGAAATCCCTATTGTGGTCTGATGAGGATATTCTTTGCAGGGCTGCCAGATCTAAGCAGAATGAAATAATTATTGACATTTACAACATACATCCTATGTGCCAGACCTTGCTCTAAATGCTTCATGTGTTACTCATCTAACAGCCTGTGAGGTGTCCATCCTCATCATATAGATGTACTGAGGCAAAAAGAACGTAAGTGAAGATGTGGCAAGGGCAGATGTCAAAGTCCCCACTTTCATTTTTTTTTTTAAGAATTATTTTATTTGTCTGAAAGACAGTTACAGAGAGAGGCAGAGCCAGAGAGAGAGAGAGGTCTTCCATTCTGCAGGTTCACTCCTGAAATGACTGTAATGGCCAGAGCTGAGCTGATCCAAAGCCAGAAGCCAAGAACTTCTTCCAGGTCTCCCACGTGGGGGCAGAGACTTGGGCCATCTTGTGCTGATGTCCCAGGCCATAGCAGAGAGCTGGATCAGAAGAGGAGCAGCCGGGACTCCATCTGGTGCCCATATGGGAAGCTGGCACTACAGGCTGGGGCTTTAACCCACTGCACCACAGCGCCAGCCCCAGAGTCCCCACTTTTGAAAAGCTCCCCTATGGTTCTCTCCTCCCTAGAGAAAGAGGATATTTTATGTATTACTCATGAAGGCAGGGCTCTGGAGGGAGGTCAGAACTGAGAGAGCAGGTTCCCAGTGGGAAGGAGAAGGCCTTGATCTCCTTGTCTTTGTCTATTCATGGAGGAATTCACTCTGAGGACAGCACTTATCACGTAAAACTTGAAGGGAGATGTGGGTAAAAAGAGACTCCGGTGAGCTCTCTGCCTTATGGAGTTCCCTTTTATAAGGCAACGATAAACAAATAAGATGAGATATTTCAGAGTATGACTGTCTGTTGAATCCTGGCTGTGTGCTAAAATAAAAGGTTTCATGCTTATATAAGCTTCAGAATCAGCGGCTTAGATAAAGTTAGATCTGTTGCTGGACTCTCAGAACCTTCATTAGATTCATAAACTTTTTAATCTCTCTGTGTAGTGGACATAGAGTGTACTATTTCTCAACCTCTTGCAACCACAAATGATCTTTCTCATGGAGTATCTTCTGTCATCTCCCCAGGTTAATGGTCTGTGGAGCAGTCCGGGAAACGGGAGTCTCCGGCAATGGGACTCCGTATATCCATTTCCTCCCAGCCTTCAGTGTTTGTTTTGTTTTGTTGACATCTCAGGTTAATCTCAGGTATTCTCTAGAGACTTAAAAAAAAAAAAAAAAGGTTTGTGGGGCTGGTGCTGTGCCATAGTGGGTAAAGCTGCCGCCTGCAGTGCTGGCATCCCATATGGATGCTGGTTTGAGTCCCGGCTGTTCCACTTCTGATCCAGCTCTCTGCTATGGCCTGGGAAAGCAGTGGAAGTTGGCCCAGGTCCTTGGGCCCCTGCACACACGTGGGAGACCTGGAAGAAGCTTCTGGCTCCTGGCTTCAGACTGGCGCAGCTCCAGCCATTGCGGCCATCTGGGGAGTGAACCAGCAGATGGAAGACCTCTCTCTCTCTCTGTCTCTCTGTCTACCTCTGCCTCTCTGTAACTCTGCCTTTCAAATAAAATAAAATAAAATAAAATATATATTTTAAAATACTTGTGTCTTTCTTTGGACATGTTTATTACAGAGAGGCCTGCTAATTTGGGGGGTAGTTTGTTATACATAAAAACATAATTGAGGCCGGCGCCGCGGCTCAACAGGCTAATCCTCCGCCTAGCGGCGCTGGCACACCGGGTTCTGGTCCCGGTCGGGGCGCCGGATTCTGTCCCGGTTGCCCCTCTTCCAGGCCAGTTCTGCTGTGGCCCAGGAGTGCAGTGGAGGATGGCCCAGGTGCTTGGGCCCTGCACCCGCCTGGGAGACTGGGAGAAGCGCCTGGCTCCTGGCTTCGGATCAGCGGGATTCACCGGCTGCGGCGGCCATTGGAGGGTAAACCAACGGCAAAAAGGAAGACCTTTCTCTCTCTCTCTGTCCACTCTGCCTGTCAAAAAAAGAAAAAAAAAACATAATTGATAGTGTTCTTCGCACGTATTTCAGGTTTTTATTTTGATGACCTAAGCCCACTTTAGCTTTTTTTTTTTTTTTTTTTTTTTTTTTTGACGGGCAGAGTGGACAGTGAGAGAGAGGAGACAGAGAGAAAGGTCTTCCTTTGCCGTTGGTTCACCCTCCAGTGGCTGCTGTGGCTGGTGCGCTGCGGCCGGCGCATCATGCTGATCCGATGGCAGGAGCCAGGGGCTTCTCCCGGTCTCCCATGGGGTGCAGGGCCCAAGCACTTGGGCCATCCTCCACTGCACTCCCTGGCCACAGCAGAGAGCTGGCCTGGAAGAGGGGCAACCGGGACAGAATCCGGCACCCGGACCGGGACTAGAACCTGGTGTGCCAGCGCCGCAGGTGGAGGATTAGCCTATTGAGCCGCAGCGAGCCATGACGCCGGCTCCACTTTAGTTCTTAATATGTTGGTGAAGCCTCTGAATCTCAGCCATCGTCCACATCCTAGCTTAGGAAAATCCATCTTACATTCACTATGATAATGCTGGCTGGTTCTGCCCAAGAGTGCATCCTGTAGGCTAGCTGGCAATCTCTCAACTCTCAGCACCTTCCACTTTCTTTCACAGGGAGTAAATGATGATTTATGGATTCATTCAATTCTGTGTAAAAGCCAAGGGGTATCAGGTTCCATCTCCTGTTCTCCTCCACATCAGTCTGCCACAATTTGATTCTCACTCGGCTGTATCTTCTCCATGTGGATACATGGTAACCATGTGGAGCTGCCTTCTTCCAAATTTCCTAGTAGAATATGAAAATAAATGAAGACAACCCAGGTGACAGAGTGTTGAGGGCTTTCTATAGCAAGAGAGTCAGGTACCATCATCTGCATTTGGCAGAGACTCAACAGAAGCAGAGAGCTAGTAACACTTTTCTAGCAGAATAAAAGTAAGACTTCAGGTGTGCCCTGATTGGAGGTTCATGCCAGGAAGAGGCTGTAGGTAGGCTAACCTATGTAAGTAAGTCATCCTATGTTAGAAGAAGAGGGGGTAAGTGATAATTAGAAGAGGGGGAAAAGTGGTAAAAGACCACTATTGGTGGACAACAACTAGGAGTTTATCAAAAAGGGCAAGAATAATGATTATTAGTCAATCAAAGAAGAACACTAGTCAGGGTTCTCTGGTGTCTTGGGCAGAAGCTGTGCATTCCCCAAGGTCATCTGCATAGTTCAGTGTTATTAGCTCAGTTGTCTGGTTCCAAAATTGTCCTGAGTACCTGGTAAGGTCCTTTGCATTGAAGTTCAAGAGTAGCTTTTCTCTGATGTTTCTTCCAATAGATGGAATCTCCTGATTGCGGATCCTGAAGAAGCCACCTAAAGAGATGTTGTGAGAAGTCAGCCTCATTCTGTTGGTGATAGGATGGATATAGTCCATGAATTCTTTGTGATGTTTCGATCTCTCTGCGTGCAGTAGTGTGTCAGAGGTGAAATCTACGAATGCACAGGACTTCCAGTTACCAGATCACAAGGGGATAGTTGACATGACCCTCAGAGAATGGACTGTATAATTTTCCATGGAGTCCCCTTGTGACTATGGGCACAACTTATGGTCTGGTTAATTTTTATTAGAATGTTTTGGATTTGGTTCTTGCAAGACTTTGCTCTAATTTGGGGGTCTGTCTTAGCTCTCAGATTTATTATGGAAAAGGGATACTGTGCATACCTTTCTGGCTTTTACCATTGAGCATTCAGTATCAGTGTTTTGACTAAGAGGTGTAAAAATTTTTGTAGCTTACATGATTTTGAGACATGAACCCAAAGGAAGTCTATAGCTTTCTATGAGTAGTGGCTAGAGATGTCTGAGTTGAAGGAGATTCTGAAATAGAACTCTCACTTCAGCTTGGGTCTAAGGCTTAAATTATACAACTGCCCAGATATTCCAAGTACATGGATGGGATGGATTTTTAGAGGAAAATGGCTCTTGGTGATCATATGAGAATCAGTAGAAAAAGCTGTAGGGTCTGGAAAATGAGAAGAAGAAGAATGAGTGGAAAGAAGTATAGAAAGAGAGAGGTCATAAGGATAAGGTGAAGGAGGGAGACCTGGACATAGGCAGGCAGCTGGACAAGGAGGGGGAAGAATTAATAGGAAAATGAATATTGTTGTTTAACTTTGTCAAGTTGATTATGAGCTTTGACCCACGGATCTTTTAGTGAAACAATTTCTGAATCAGAATTTCATTTGGAAACCTCTACTTACCAATAAAAAAGTTGCTGAGACCGAGAAATCTTATTCCATTTCTATGCTAAGGTGCCTCTCAAATGAACAATTTTGTTCAAGTAAGGTATTCCTGAGAGTGGCCTTTCGAGGTCAGGATCATTGTTGAAGTTATATCACTTAGAGAAATAGTGAAGAGTCATGATTGTAATTCATGTTGTGTTGCAAAGCCGAAGTTTCATTCTGGAGGAGAAGAGGATTAGACTTAGGTCAACCCATGAGAGCAGGCCGATCAGTCAGTGGTAACGCTTGTGCCCTTTGTAGCTGGGATCTCCAGCCTGATGATCAACTGTCAATGAATGCTGACCTAATGGTCGGCACCTCCAGGAAGGCAGAAAACCAATGGAAATTCATCAAAGGGAACTTTGCCTCTGGGTCAAAGCTAAGCTCTCAGAACAAAAATTCATGATGTATGGGAGAGCCTTGTCTAGTTTATTGGTGACTTCACAATGTTGATCCACATGGTGCTGGTTGGTTGAGAACTCCAAGCTCATTGGTCTGTGAGACTGGCTTTAACAACAAGTGTATGGGACCTATACCTATATTTTACCTTGTGATTTTCCTTTCTATGACAAACTACATTTCAGACAACATAGCATAGAATACAAGCACAAAAGAGAGCAAAAAGGGAGTTAAAAAGAAAAAGAAGAGCAGGCAAACACCTTCACTCTCTATGGACTGAGTTCCTTGGCTATTTCTTCTCAGTTTAGTTACCTGAATTAGGTTGTCAGTTCCTGTTTGTCTGGCACCCTTGGTGGGATCCATTCTGTTTTGTCCCAAGGAAGTGGAGGAAAGGGAAAACTTGAGCTGTGCCCCGATTGTAGGTTTTTGGATGGGGGAAGCCAACTAGTGGGGTAGCTAGAAGTGAGTCATCCTATGTGACATTAGGGAAGCATTGTTGCCTTCCTCTGATTAGTCCTAAATGGAAAAAAGGGTGAAGGAATTGAGAGCCTGACCATCATTGGTCAAGTCCTGAGGATTCTGGCATGACAGAGGCTGTGGGTTGGAGTTCCTCTATCATAGGTCATCTGATCCTTGTTCATTTGTATACTCAGTCTCTCACAAGCTCAACCCTACTAGCCCCCCTCCACTTTCAGTGTCTGCCTCAAACGTTGTATCATTTCCATCTTATCATTCTTCTCCCATATTTCTCATTCTGGATCTCCAAGGGAACATGGACGATTTAGTCTTACCTCCTTGGAGGAACCAAATAATGTTTTTTCCCCCTCTCAGTATTGCTTCCAAATTATTCTCTTGATTTCCTGGAAGGGAGAGGTCTTCTCTCTTTTCTTTCTGTATTGTGCAGACTTCTTCCACATTGTATCTCCTTTCTTCCCTACCTTTGGATAATCACAGTCTAGGTAAGATCTACTTTTCTGTCTCCTTCTGGCTTTGCCTTAAAGATGCTGGCACTGCTGAAGGGAGGATTACTCAGAGAACTATCATCAGTGAACTAGTCATGTCTTTGTAACTAACATAGGGGTTCTTCCACTTCTCAAAGAATCTTTAAAATACATAAAATCCAGGTCATCTGTTCGGGAAAATCAATGTAAATTTTCAGTGTGTGTGAGAGCCTTTGAACATCCTGCATTACAAATGTTATGGATGAACATTTTCTCTGGCCATTCATTCAGTAAATATTTCGTGAGCACTTCATGCTTGCTAGACTCTACACAGTGCACTTAAAGATGGTGAACAATGCAAACATCCCAGCTTGCATGCAGCTTACATTCCAGTAGGGGGGGGGGACAGAAAATAGCAAACAGAGTAAGAAAGCTTACAGTGCGGTAAAGGGTGACAGGGCTTGGAGAATCAAGGGTGGAGGGATGGGGGACAAGTTCATCTGTCTTTTTGTTTGATAAATGCTTGAATTTACCACATCATTGGCAAGCTTACTGCTAACCTTAGTGAATAAGCTCATGACAATTAAACAATACCACAGGGACGGAAATTGTTCTGAAGGAGATACATACTCAGATGCAGGGCTCTGGAAAAATTTCCAGACATTATTGCTAATTTTATTAATCCTTAGCCAGCTGCAGACTGAGTCAGCTGCCTTGAGTCTCAACTGGTTCAGGATTTGAGGAGCATAACAATTGGGTGTGGTTATGGAAGCTAACAGCCAAGTCTTGTCTTTACCATAGATGTCTGACTTACAGAAAGAAAAATTGCAAGAAGAGAGAGTCACGGATCAAGACTCCATAAATTATAATAATCAGCACTCCTGTAAGATAATGTTGTTATTATCAGAATCTTACAGGAGCATTTAAATCCCCTCTTGGACACCCTAGTCAGCAAATGACAAGATTCTACTATTATTTTTGCATTATTGTTCCAAGATAGAATCAACTTTACTAAATAAAGGAGAAAAGCTTTTTAAAAGGCATTGTTTAGTAGGAGACAAATAGCTGTATGATAAAATATTCATTGTTCTAAAAAATACTGTACTTACCAGAAACAATACATTTTTTCTCCACATTTCTATTTCTATTTAGCCCAGTATGGTTTGTTTCATCCACTGAACATGACATACTATCACATGTCTCTTATTTTTTTATTAGTTGCTGCTGAAGATCACAGACTCAGGGTTTCTCTTCTGAAGCATAGATTAGTGAGGTCCATCTGGTTTCTGCAAGAAGAGTGAACTGGACTGTGCTTGGTTTTTGTCTGTGCCTCACAGTCAGCACTGATCCTGTGTGGTTCGGGTTCTGAGATTTCTGTTGCTATCTGGAAGCCCTTGCCAGTCCAGACCACAGTGGAGCCCTGTGTTGAGAACCAAGATTGCAGGTCCATTTGATTACACTCACGTGTTCCACCACTGTTCCTGGGAAGTTGACTTATGGAGGCTCCCGGCCATACTCTCAGGTTCTGGCTGCCTCCCATGGTTCTCATGCCAATGGCAAACATTTTTGGTCCTTGTGTTGAGTCCATGCACAAGCCCAGCCTCTCAAAGTCACTTCAGTGTAGTTGTCTTCTTGCTCCTCTATGCTGCAGACCTTTGTTAGGTCAGGGCCATCCTGTGAGTTGTGTAGTTGTGTGTTGGACACAGGTATAGGGCTGGAAGTGCAAGCAGAGGTTGAAATTCAGCCCATTCTCCACTTGCCAAATTCATGTTCTGGGGTTAAGCCAACTGTTTTCTGATGCTTTCACTTCAAGGGTGAAATAGCACTGATTCATAGAGAAGTTTCAGGAGAGACCTTAACTGGAGCTGTTTTGCTCCTCCCCTATGGGTATTCCCAACTTTAATATGACTGCAATGTTAAGGCATCCATCTATTCTGCATATAAATTGATCCACCCCTGCAGGTTATCAGTTTTCAGATCTGATGAATCTGACCACAGCATGGTCTCAAGGTTCTGTTTCAGTGGGAACTCCCCCTTTCCCCTTACTCCAGACACAAGAGCCTGCAGTGAGTGCCTGCTCTACTTTTATATAACTGTGTACTAGCTTACGGGGCCCTGCCCAGAAAGCTGTCATCAGGCAGGCGCCTGTGCCCTGAGGCTGTGACTGTTGGCTGGTCACAGCTCTCAGTAGCCCCCTTATCTGGGAAATTCCCTTCTGGGAACAGGACCTGCTTTGTCCACGAGCATCTCATCTAAAGATGATGACTGGTATGGAAATGCAGAAGAGGCTGGCCCTTCTTGCTTCAAGCTTGGGCCCATTCTGTGGTGCGACTCATGCTCCTGGGAACACTGTGAGGTCATCCCAGCCTCACTGCCAGCTGAGACCACACCCCTGGTACCCCTCCTCCTGAAAACAGCCACTCAGTAATCCTCTGCTTCTCAGAATCTGAGTCAGAAGAACCTCTAAGGACATCTCCTCGCTAGTTCTCAGGGGAAAACACTAGTCTGCCTCGGAATAACTTTTCTTCTCAGTTCCTCCTGAGAAATACTGTGTCCTTAAGAAAAGAACAAATACTCCCACTTAGCCTGGCATACTTATCCTTCGTTTCCTCAAGTCAACAGGAAATATATATATATATATATGTAAAATCATCTGTATATGTGCATATGTATTTATGTGCATATGAATTTATCAAGATGCTTACAGAAAATAGAATTAGTATTTATTTTGGTGGAAAATGTTGAAGTGTGCCAGCATTTTAACACAGTGGGTTATGCTTCCACCTGCGATGTCAGCATCCCACAAGCATTGGTTTGAGTCCTGACTGCTCCACTTCTAATCCAGCTCCTTGCTGATGTACTTGGGAAGGCAGTGGAAGATGGCCCAAGTACTTCCCAGTTCCGGCCATTGTGGCCATCTGGGAAGTGAACCAGCACATGGAAGAGCTCTCTCTCTCTCTCTCTCTCGCTCTCTCGTGCACACACTCTCTCTCTCTTGCCTTCACCCTTACCCTCATCCTCTGTAATTGTTCCTTTCAACTAAATAAATCTTTAAACATTTTTGAAATCCTTGCATACGAGGGGTTTTTAAAATGTTCATAGAAAATGTGTACTATGAAAAAACTAGGTATAAAATATGTATAGAGACATATTCTTTTTCTTTTTCTCACAAACCTGAGCTTACAGTATCTGTTATTTTATAATTTGCTCAACATCTACCCTAACCCTGCCAACTTACATTAGATTACAGTCAACTTTCCTCATGCCTGTATGTATAGATTTACTTTATTTTTCTACAAATATATAAAATTCCTTATTTTAATCTGTTGCCAATTCATAGACTTGGAGATGTTTCTGTTTTCTTAGTATCATAAATTATGCTGAAAAGAACTTCTACAAATATGTTTTGCTTTGTGCTAGTATTTTGATAGCACAGGGTTCTAGAAGTAGACTCTACACTTCCATGCATTTGTATATTTTAAACCAATTTGACCCCACAAAGGCTCCACCCACAGAGTCTGAGAATAGCCAGTTCTCTGCATTCTCACCAATGTGGACCATTTTCTCAATCTTGTTTCTTTTGAGAACTATAATGAGTAGCACGTGTTTGGATTGTCACTGTGTTTGTAAGGGGAGAGACTGAGCACCTCTCCCGAGTTTGTGGGTTTCCTCTGCTCCCCGCTTCCCTCACTCAATCTTCCTTGACTGTTTTGCCAGGCTGCTGCCATCTCGAACTCTACAAATCCTCAGGGCTTTTGTGGCATTGCTCCTCGGTGTACAGTGCCACTGTCCAGTTACCCTTACTTTTATCCTTGTCATTGTTTGACAGGGTTTATTTTAGGGAGTGTGGTGTAGGGATGCTCTTTTTTTTCCTTTTTATTTTATTTAAGGTAAACCAATTTCATAAATACAAACTTAGGAAACAAAGTGCCCACACTCCTATACTTCCTCTTCCTTCCTCTCTTAATATTTACAATGATCTAATCTCATTCTGCTTTATACTGCTAAGATTAACCCTACACTAAGTAAAGAGTTCAACAAATAGTAAGAAAAAAAAAAAACCCACTGTTTATCAACAGTAGAGACAAGCTCTGTAAACAATCATCAAATTTCAAAATGTCAATTTTACTCCTATACATTACATTTTTGATCCTCTGTTAGTTACTACAGATCAGGGAAAGCTTATGGTATTCATCCTTTCCGGACTAAAAGGCAGGATTTCATTGTTTTTAACAGCCGATTAGTACTCCATACTATTTGTATACCGTAAGTTCTTTATCCAGTCATCAGTTGCTGGACATCTGGGTTGATTCCATAACTTAGTTATGGGGGGCAAGTGAGTGTTGTGGTGCAGCAGGTCAGGCCTTTTGCAATGCCCACAACCATTGTCAGAGCACCTGGTTCAAGTCCTGGTTACTCCAGGCTTTAGATCCAGCTTCCTGCTAACATGCCTGGGAGGCAATAGATGATGGGCC